GGGCACTGAACAAACGTCTAACTTAGCTAAATGTCAGTTCACAATAACTCTTTGTCTACAAAGCAAGAAATTGCAGAGAGACCAGAGACTTACTACTGCTTCATTCAGGCTTTTTGGTTTTGGTGTTTTATACTGCAATAAAAAAGGGAAATATATCTACATTTACAGCAAGCCCATTCTTATTTATTCTGACTATAAGTGTATCAAGATATGTTTAGGCTTTCGAATTCACATGCTCTAGATTTAGTGTCAAAACCGAAGCAGCCTGCACACAGCTGTTGCCATACAGGCTGCAGAGCCGCCTACGGTTCTTGTCAAGCCTTCAATTAAAGGCAGAGCACCCTGCTTTTTGCCTCGGGATGGTCAGCTGAGCACAGCACGTCAACACCAAACTTGGAGATGATTTATCAGGCTGCCTCCTTGCAAAGAGAACTGCTTGGGGAAGCCGGGTTACAGAAAACAGCCTTTCCAGCCACTTGGTAGGGAAGAAAGCTCTTGCTTGCAGCAGCTAATATCCAGAGGGGAAGAACAAAAAATAATGTTACTTTACTTACTGCGCTGCTGGAAGCTTTTCAGGTATAAGAGTGAGAAAGCAGCGAAACAGCCGGTATTCCATAGAACTGAGAGCATCCAGTGGTTTTTAGCAGTTCTGTCAATTTGATTTTTTTCCCTTTCATATCTATTGTTCTGGTTACTACTATACATCCCTCCCAAATAAATACACCTACAAATATCTCAGAAAAAACATCAAGCTTCTGTCTTTATGGACCTTGACAAGCAGGAGAAAGATCTCCTCTGCTTTTTCCTGTACACACAACTGGGCAGGCCAGATTCGACTTGCAGGCTGGGCTTGTTTGATTAAGCACATAGTGCAAGAAGACTGGAAAGCTACAGTTAGCAGAAGGTTGGAAGGCAAAAACGAAACTGCAGTTCCAGACTGCGAGAGGCTGTCTAAAATAGAAAGATCCGGGAAGCTTCAATTCCCATGGTGTGTTTAGACCAGCAAAAATGTGGACTCAGAACAGCAAAAAACCAGCACTGAGAAGGACACGCTCATCTGTTCTAGGAACAGAGATGCCGTCATCCTCAGCAGACCAGATGCGTCTGAATTTTCTCCACTGTGGGCTGCCCTCTGTACCCCCACCGGATTACCAGCTAGGCAACACCCTTTCTGTCACAATCACCAGATATAAATCTAGATTTTGGCATTCATGATTCTCAGATTCTCTGAAAACCTCTTGTCCTTTAGACACCAAGAGGCATTTAGGGTTTAAACGACTTGAATATGCATTGCTTTGTCTTGCCATGCCAAGGATTCCTTTGGGAATGAAGAAAAGACATGTACTCCCTCCCTCCCGCTCGCTAGCTGGGGCACACTGCTCAGTCTGTGGATCACAAAGGGGTGGACTAGACTAGAGAGCAGTGAAAACAACTGAACGGAAACTTTTTAGTACAAACTGAGTTTGTGTTCTTTCTGAGCGCTCCTTTCAGGAAAGCTACCGTTCCTAAATTTGGTTAATGAGATCTGTGTGTCATCATAAATCGATATAGTAATTATCTGAGATTAATCCTGTTCACATTGGGAAGCTGTGTGAGCTTTTTGATCTGAAGAGCTGTCTAAAAATGTGTTTATTCATGTATAATGCATCTGACAAGTGCTACAGTTGAGGAGAAGAGAATAATGAGACTGTATGAAAGATTTTTTTTTCTACCTTCAGTTTTACAGGGAATGAGCTAGTCTGAAACATTTAATGGAGAGGTTAATTCTCCCAAATCCGTAGGCTGGAACAAGCCCACACAGTCCTGGCAGTCATTGTAACCAGCAATAGGGTCGAGAGAATATGAAAACTGACGCGCAATTCAGACTGGAATGATTAGAGAAGAAAGCTTAAGGGAAGGGGGAAATAAAAGAGAAGATTTGCATCCACATAGCACTGTACATTTTAACAGAGAGTATCTGATTAGCAATCAAGAGATGCATCCTTGCATCTTTACTAGAGGTCAGTGACCTAGAAGTTGCTCTTCCTTCAAGAGTAGTTCCTGTGCAACTCCAGTAAACAGTTTTGTTTCTGGTTTGTCTGAGGAAGGACTAACACCTCTGCCAGTTCTTTTAGCAAATAACTGCACCAGGTTTCAAGCACAGAAAATCTGGCAGTGCTACCCCATTGACAAGAACTCCAGTGCATGCTGACGATACAGAAAACACATCCAAGTTTTGTGCTCTCACTTCTGTAGGTTATAGTACGTGTCACGAGTGCTCTGACAGGTTTTTTCATCATCCAAGTGTTATTCAGAAGATGCAAAAAGAACATATGCAGCGCAGCGCCAGCAAGTTCCAGGGAAAATGGCCTGTAATTTTAGAAATTACTCTGTGACGTAAGGAATACAACATGACATTTTTATCTCTGGTAAAAGAACACAGCTCTGGGTGTTGGGATTTCAGCGCACTGTCACAATTTGAAGGTTATGTTACAAAGATCTCATGGAAGAAAAGAAATAAATCACATAGGCATTATCATCATGTAGGGGCGAGGCAGGCAAGTCACCCAGCAGCATCACCGTGGCATTTACTCTGTGCTAGTAGGACACTAAAAATATTGCCTCTGTAAAAGGGGACAGAACGTCCTTTAAGTGAGTGTGCTCGTGGGCGATTTGATGTAGCTTCCCTGACAAGTGAAATTACAGGATTCAGCTGCTGGAAGAAATTAAAGGATGTTTCTTGATTCAGAAAAGAAAATTTTCTCCAAATCACTTGCCAGCTCATTAACAAGAGCTTGATGTGACTTTCTGCAAATGTGACCTTAACCTCTACATTTGTCGGTGCATCTTTCAAAAGGAATTTACTCCTGCTCACTATTGTGGGTTGGCAAAAGGATAAGACAAGGAAGTTAAAAAAATCAGTTGGCTCCAAACTGGAGAAGAAAACCTAACAACTTGTTTTAAGGATCTTTTCATCCCAAACTACATCCTACAAACTTCATAAAGGCCAATAGCTCTGGCCTGCATTCCACAGCACGGATGATGATGCAGGAATCCTTCTGCTTGACTCTTGACAGGTAAAGGAATCACTTTTACTTCAGGCCAGGCCCATGGCGTGCACCTGACCTACTGGCACTACGTTAATGCCCTCCGAGGAGACACAGCAGCCAGGGCTGGCTCAGCAACCACCAGTGCCTGGAACAGACGGAGCTGCTTTGTGGGTTGGTTCCCGGTCCTACAGCCTAGTGGAGCAGCTTTGCACTAGGCCCTATCCTCAGTGTTGAGAGGACAAGCTTCAATTCAGTTTGTGGATGTTTAACCTCACCGTGAGTTAATTCTCCTTCAAATCAAAGCAGGTACCACGTTAGCAAAGGCTGGCACCCACTCTTTCGCAAGCGCCTATTGCTTCATCCATTTATTCCAAAACAATCTCCTAGGGTCATGAGAAGTGTCGATACCGACTCGAGTACCACCTGCATGGGTGGAGGATGACAGCGTGCTAGACTGTGAGGCTCCGCTTCCTGCCCTAACACGTTCCCTCTGTGTTCCCGAGATAGTCCGAACCCAAACAACATCAGCCTTGATGTCAATGCCCTCTTCTTGGTGCAACTCAGCCTGAGGTACAACCTGCTCAGATGCCACAGGGGTGAGGCTTGTGGCCAAATTTCAGCTGCTCCTCAAAGCCACACCTGAGGAGTTTAAAAATGGGACCATAAATAACCTCTAGGGCTCAAGAAAAATAGCCAGTGAGACTTTCTACATGGATGTGGTATTTCCTGAAAGCTCAGGGAAGGAGGGAGGCAAGCACAAAGGAAAATTGAAACTAGCTAAACCAGGCGATGCCTTACCTGCACGACAGGCTACTGGGAGGATAAGATACTATTTATTCTCTTTTACAACATCTGTAGTAATCAAACCTGGCAGGTTAGGACAACAATCAATGGTTATGCTAAGGGGAAAAAAAATGCAAATGAGACCTGGTTTAAGTCCATTGTGTACAAATGAATCAAACATAAGACCAAAACCATAAAACCAACTACTACTACAAAGAGCAGAATACTGCTGAAGGGCTTCTGTGACAGCAGGAAACACAGAGGAAACACAGAGGCTGAAACAGGGAGATGATCAGAGGGAGCCTTCCCCGCAGAGTTTGGAGGGGGGAGATCTGACAGCACCGTGTAACGTGATACGGGCAGTATCTCCAAGATCACAATTTGACAAATCCATAATTTAGGGACTTTATGATGCTGAAGAGGGAGTGGCAAGTCTGAATTTAAGGTAAAATTAAGGAAATAAAAGAGGGGTGATGTTAACATTTTTTTTACTCAGACTGTTAATTTAAAGACCACCAGGGACTGACTGATAACACAGGAGGCCAATCCAACCAAATATATAGCTGTATTTTTCTGCCTCCCTACCTGAAAATTTAAAATCTGTAGGAAAACTGTTGTACAAACGGGTTTCTGCCTCATCTTCTACTGCCTTGGAATAAATAGACAATATTTATGAGAATAGAGTAGGTGGGTGCAGAATTATATTCAAAGCACTACAGTATTCAGCTGTGAGATAACTGTGAGTCAAAAGTTTCAGGGCATTTAAGAACTGTAAAATATTGAAAATATTTTCGTTACCTGGCAATTTTTTTTTTTTTTTTTTAATTTCGCCACAAGGGGTTAACAGCAACAACTTTGCAGAAACCACCAAGGTCAGATATTGGGAACAGCAGCTATGACTATAGAAAAGCATTAATCAGCAGAAGCTGCAAAAGAAAAACAGTCCACGTCTGGAAACGCAAAGCAAGTTCTGCAGTGCAGCAGTCCCCGAGAGAGATTGCAAGCGGTGTTTCTGCTGAAAGTGTGACTGGTGAAATCAGCACCGAAGGATGCAGCTGAGACGCCAGCCTGAACGCTGGCAGAGCACATCACCAGAGAACAAGAACCTTCTAGTCACAACTCTACTGTGCCATTTTACTCTTTGATCTCTCCGGAGCTTGGCAATGCTTTAAATGGGAGGCCAAGCTACTGTAAGTAGTGTATTTACAGTGTGGTGCAAGGCATAACGTGAGTGATAAATGGACCCTGTGAAGAGGATCATTAACACTCAGCCTGCTAGGAGCTGCAACTGTTGAGGATCTTGAGCTTAAGTAGGAGAGAAAACGCAGATTTGATAAGGCTTTGTTAAGAAGTCTCTCTTACATACTGTATAACGACACTCTATAATGAATATTGTGGTTTGAAAGAGGAGGCTAGCTGACGCTATATATTGAATTTGCTTAGCTCTGATTTCATTCAAAGTATCTTAAGACTTTGAGGAATAAGTGACCGCTCTCTGGAAGTACAGCTGCGATATCTGCGTGGCACATCACAATAAAAGCCAGAGTGCGAATGGTTCAAACGTGACCCTGTCCAGATGTGAGAGAGAGGGCATGAAGGGAGAAGAGTGGAACAACTCCTTTTCTCCAGTGATGCTTTATCACTGTACTAACCCTTGGAAAAGTGGTGAACAACAGCAGTATGTGCACAGACTGTTCTCGCTGCAGAAGAGCTTTAATTATTTGAAAACAAAACAAAGGAGCACTGTAAAATTAGATGCCTGTGGTAGAGAAGGGGAAGCAGTTACAGACACGCTTCTATCATATTTTAGACTCCACAGCAGTTAAAATAAAAACCACACACAAACCTACCCACATGACTTGAAATAAACAGTAATGTGTGTAAGTCTGTACCTATCACTACTGCAATCAACTACACTTTATGCGAACAAGAAAACCAGCTCAGTCTGGTCCTATGAAACCCAACAGGTGAGCCTTAGACTAATAACAGATCTCAGACACCGGTGGCTGTTTGCAGCAAGAACTGCAGCAAGGATCAGCAACTTTGCCTTTTGACTGGTACATAAAGCACATGATGCCACTTTGCAAACACAAAAATGTGTGATTTTAAGGTATTATTTACATTGCCTAAGCAGATGTAACCTTGAGGCACAGCACAGAAAAGTATAACCAGATGGTATGGACAGTTTGGGACTATAATACCTTTTCTAGGATTTCAAATGCTGGAGTGAGACAAGGATTCAAAACTTGGAACCGTTCAAGCAGCTCTGCTTAGTATTCTAAACATGTACCACTTGAATAATTCAAATTGGACTGCGCAATGCAGCGCTTTCTAAGCTGGGAAGTCAGCTGAGTGTTGTGCTCACTAGATTAGATAATTTGAGCATGGGAAGGGCATCGTAGAGTGCAGTGAAAATTAGTTTTTCCCAGGACACACTGGAAAGCAGCTACAAATTGAGCTGTACCTTGCAGGTACAGAGCGCCAGTAAGTCTCTTTATTTGCTCACTTTTTAAAGAAAACATGTCTTACATTGCTATCAGAAAGCTCTCTAAAAAATCTGCAGTAGCAGCTGAGGTAGCCTAACAGTTGGGTCAGTCCTGACTGAGCACAGCAATGCACATTCAGCGATCTTTAAGAGCAAGCTTAAATCTTGTGACTTCAAGAAGACCTAGCAATTTACTTGAAGTCAGGCCTGTGATTACATATTTTAACAAAGAATTGGGCCTTGGCAGATAATCAAGTTTTACTAAACTCATGTCCCAGCACAGGCACTGTTCAGTACTCTCTGCTCTCATGATTATGAAAGTCACTTTTGTAGATGGAAGTGCTCTGGAACAAGTTAGTTCAGCTCTATACTAGTATAGTCACACTAGTAAAATATTCATTAGGGAAGACCTTATTCTAGGATAAAAGAATGATTTATTCACCGAAGCTTATTTTTCAGTAAGGAAAAGACTGATAAAATTTGACAAAATCCATCCAATACCTCAACAGCAGCTCTCATTTGCTGTCACAATCCCAGAATAACTGGCATAAGTTAGAACAGCCTTTATTTTACATTCCCACTGCAACCAATGGCAAATGTCTCATTAGCTCCAACAGCAGAGATCTAAGGCAGAAACAAGCAAGCATATTTTCTCTAATATTACTGATGGGGTGCTCTGTTGAATAGGTCCAAATCCGCAATGATTGATGTGAAGTGTGTCTAAATACCTTTTATACAAACACCTTTCCACTAAATTGCCAAAGAAATTTGCTTTCAGGATTGTTACTTCTGATTTCCACACAGCTCAGATCTAGCACAAAGCACTTAACAAAGGTTCAAAGGGTTTTTTATAAACTGCCCATGCTAAGTGTAGCAGCTAGCACAGGCCTGTAGGAAAAAGGTGTTCTTCTCCTCTCAAATCTTTCACGGTAAATTGAAGACCTCTTTTGAAGGTTTTTCAGCTGTAGAAATGCCTAGAGACTTTGACATTTGAGGACAATGATCGCACAATGGAAGCGAGCAGATTTAGCATTTGGCTCAGAGGCAGAGATGTGTGCATGCACAATACTTCCCGAACAGAAAGAGGTAAGTGCAGTTACCTTCAGCTTTTAACGCTGACTTTGCATGTCCTATGGCTTCCCACGGAGAAGGGATATCTAGGAACACGGCATCTGCAATGTTGGAGACACCAAACCCATTTTTGCAGACATCCTGGTTGGTGACGGTGACCAGGTGCTCCACGCCATGCTCTCGAAACTCCTCCCTGGCCTTCTCGGCTCTCTGTTGGTGGAACTCCACCGTGTACAAGTGCCCTGTGGGAGCCACTGTCCTGATGAGAGCGTGGGAGAGGGATCCGCTGCCCGTACCTAGGAAAGACAAACACATGAACTGCCTTTTGACAGAGCTAAATATCAGAATGAAGGCCTTCTCCATTAGTCACAGAATCATAGAACAGTTTCGGCTGGAGGAGACCTTCAAGATCATCCAGTCCAACCTTTTCCTAGCCCTACGAACACCACCAAACCGTGCCCTTCCACGCAACATCCACCTGTCTCTTAAACACTCCCAGGGATGGTGACTCAAGCACCTCCCTGGGCAGTCTGTTCCAATGGCTGACAACCCTTTCAGTAAAAAAATTCTTCCTAATATCCAATCTGAGCCTCCCCTGGTGCAATTTAAGGCCATTTCCTCTTGTCTTACCATTCACCACTAGGGAGAACAGACCAACCCCCCCTGCTAAAACCTCCTTTCAAGTAGTTGTAGAGAGGGATAAGGTCTCCCCTCAATCTCCTCTTCTCTAGCTAAACAGCCCCAGATCCCTCAGCCGCTCCTCATCCGACATACAATATATACAGTCCTCCTGCTTGAACACTTATTCAAAACCTCAGTGAACAGAAACCACTGGTTAAACTGCTGAAAGAGAACAGTCCTTCCTTCACAAGGAAAGGGGACCTAAATGCCCTAGGAAACAGTTTTAAGGTGGTCAATGTATTAATTTAACATCTGTCAAACTCAGGACCTGTCCTCTCTCCTTGGAATAGAAAAATAATGGCATAGGTCAGCTATAGTTCTAACAAGTGCCACAAGAGAACACAAGGAAGTAAACAGTATTCAGGGAAATTAAGTGGAGAGGTTTTTTTTCAAAGTGCCAGACTCTTCTGGGGTGAAAAGAGATGAAGGCAAATCTTAACATATTTTCAAAACCTTATACAACATTAAAAAACAAGACGAGATGTTGGCCATGCATAAAAGTCCAATTGGTATCCATGCAAGCGAATGGCCTTCAGGAGACAGAGCCTGTTTTGCCCAGGCCTCTTTAGAGACACTGCCCATCCTCGGCTCTCACTGCCATGATCCAAAACTAAGGCCTCCGGGCTCCTTGCGGTCGTGCTGACCAAACAACCTGATTTCACAGGTGACTTACATACATACACACCTACACAATCTCAACAAAGTCTAATGAGATCCAGCACAAACCTGAAATTGTGTCTAGGTACAATTACCACATAGTAAGCCAGGGACTAGCTATTAAGACAGTCTTTTTCCCTTGTTTTAGTTTGATAATTTAGGAAACTTATTTTAAATCATCCACTGCCGTATTAAATAGATGAATGACTAATAACCAACGCTTTCAATGAAGAAAACACCCATGTCCTAATTCACATTGCAAATTACTCACTCAAGTGGCATTTAACAGAAACCCCCCCCAAACTCAAAACGCCACAGCAACACCAAATTATCTGTGTTTATTGATTTATCATTCAGTGCTTGGAACATATTTCTCCTGTAGAAAGAAAATCTATTTCTAGCTATGTTCAATGACTCTTCAGGCTAAATTTCAGCCTGAAGCAAGCTCTTTCAACTAACCACAAATCTTAAAAAACTTACAAAGCACAGAAGCCAAAGTAGAGCAGTGGTTAAGAAAGTTCAGAAACTAGTAAAAAGGAAATTAATTATGGGACACGGGGGTTGGTACAGCTGCTTAACTGGAGCAATATTTTCCATAACTGTACAGGAAGCCAGAGATTACTGGCAGATCCAAGGTTCTTGCCCTCTAGAAACATAAGGAGAGAAACATTGTCGTGGCACCCTATTTAATTCGACAGCTCCGAAAGGGGAGACCTTCAGAAAGTAAACAGAGCTCAGGGCCCGTGTTTGCCACTGGATCAACAGCGCTGCTCCTCTGCTTCCCTCTGAGAGGGCTCGGACCCCCTGGGCCGGACCAGCACCCTACCCCCAGATTTAGAAGGAAGGACCTGCAGGTTTTAGCACTGCCCTCAGAGAGGTCCAAGGGAAGAGAGAAACTGTGACACACACATTCGTTTAAAAGGAAAATCCAGGCATTCACATCAGTATTAAAATAAAGCAAACACAAGGCAAAAGACAGTTACATGTGTACAGATGAAGAACTATCTGGTCACAGCACCAGCAGGCTCTAAATGTCAACATAAGCTTTTCCCTGGTCAAAAGGAGTAATGGTGGCACAGCAACCATGTGGTTGTAAAAGCTCAATGATACATGTGCATAGCAAAGAAACAGCATTTCATTGATTTTTTTTTTTTTTTTTTAATTACAAGGGCAGGGAACTATTGTTCACAGGACGCTAAAATGACTGAAAACCTGTCTTTGTATTTCATGCCAGAAGGCAGAATTGTACAACTGTGAATTTTAGCAAACTAGTAGAATTTAATTATTTTACCTCTCAAATGGGTATTGCTGCACACTTTCTGCATCTTTCTCTGCTAGTCTAAAGGAGTGAACAGAAGGCCTGTCAGCACAGCTGGGCTGTAAGCAGAAGAGAGGCAGTTTGTGCATGTATCCAGTTTCCTTGTTCATACTCTTTTACATTTTTAATCACTTTCCTTTTAAATCTGCCTTAAAACATGACAGAAGATACAGTTTGTCTCCCTCCTAGGAAAACCCATTAAGATTTTTTGGCTTCTTTTCTGCCACTCCTTTTTTTTTTATTTGCAGACATTCCAAACCAAACCCTGAACTAAACCCAGGATGTTGTAAGTCAGCGCCTGCAGGCATATTACAGACAGAGCTTTTGTTAAACAAGGTCACCAGCAATTATTTATTGTCGACTGTCTATTGCAAACATGAGAATAATACAGATGGATCACATTTTAACATATCAAATTCTATCACACTAACATCATTAATGAGAGTATTTCTGCAGATGCTGCCTGCCTTCTCTGTGACATCACTCCTGAAACTGCAGGAAACAAAACCCAAGACGGTTGAGTCACCCACCACGGTAAAACCTCTCCTTGAAGAGATAACAGATTCTGAACTGGGTCCTGTGAAACAATGACGACTCTCAACTCTGAAGTGCCTGATAGTTCAGCACACTAGATGCGATTCGGTAAGACTATGAGGTTCTGGCAGTACAGCACAAATCCATGCTGAAAACAACCCTGCAAGCTCAATCAGCGCTGCCTACAGAAGGCAGGAGCTCAACCCTATATTTCTCTGGTGTTGTAGAAGGGGAAATGAATGTTTAGATTCATATTCTCCTCTGTGAATCTACAATATTCAACATCTGAGTCCTCCTGCCACCTTCTCAATTCCTTTACAATGTCTCTTTGTCCTTATTTCAAAATCACTACTGAAAAAAAGCAGTATTCAGCAAAATACAGCTCAAAGAGTCTCACCTAGTAGTTTGGAATAAGTTCTAGTCACATTCGGGTTTCCTTGGGAAATGAAAGGTGTCCTTAGCATGATACGGAGTTGGTCACGGAACAGCAAAATGCAAGGAGTACTGAAGACATGAACTAGAACACTACTAAATACGAAATATCGCAGCTGAATTACCTGTATACAAATGAACCAAAAAATTGAATGCTCAAAAATTGATACTTTGTACCAGAAGAGGCAAATTAAGAATTAGATGGACTTCAATAGATTTTCCTTCTCGTATAGGTGCAGTGAAAAGCCTATGTTCCTGATTTGACCTAGAGAGCGGAAGGTAAGACAACTTCTAGAACAAATACAGTTTATCATTTTTACACCAGGATGCTTGCCTTTTTGACAGCTTGTACTATACATAGCCTTAGAAACTGTTTGCTCTCTACCACAGGACAATGCCCAATTAACTACAGCGTATTAATCACGCATCCCAAAACATTCTATGACTCTGTGAATGAACTCTACAGGAGAGAGGTAAAATGATGATAATTCAAACCGTACTGAAGACATTCTTAACACCACAGCTGCTCACCTCAGTGAGCTCACCTGGGTGAGCACTTAGGTCCTCGCTAATGCCTTTGGGAAACGTGATGCTCTTCTACATTGACTATTCTGGGACCCTGGACAAAAAGCAGACATATGCATTGCAAGCATTTAGTGAGACACCACAGGGTGCCCAACATGCCATTCTCAAAGCTCGAGGTCTGAGGAGGAGAAATCATGTAGGGGATCATCACGTAGCCTAGGGAAGCAGTCCGTCTCAGTTCAAAGGCATGAATTAAAATCCTATGTTAAAATCACAAGAGTTAGGTATCTAATGGTCCTGGAGACCAACACAGTGTCCTCTCCTTCTTGGGCTCAAGCACACTCCGTTCTTCTCTGACACAACTAAGCTCAGGGGAGTATTTCTGCCCTCTCCCAAGACCACAGCTTTAGAAGGATTTCAATCCTTACAAGTGGACACCTAGATGAAACACTCTAGCATCTACTGATACTTCCTTCTGATTTGTAGACAAGAAAAGTATTGATCAGATGAACTCCCTGATAATTTTCCTGACCTTACATAGATCTGTTCTTCTCACTCTCTGCTAACTCAAGTGACGGGTTTGCCACAGAGAAGCCTTTGCGTACCTCAGCCACCTTGAGACAATGTCCACGTTAAGGTCGTTTCTCACCTTTTCAAAGCTGCAGAGGACAACATCTGAGGTGTTCAGAAATAACACGCTATTTCGACACAGTATAGATACACATCAGAACACTGTCAGAAAAACATGAGTGTTACCAGAGCATCTAGCATAGCACTTGACTGATAACTGAATAAAGGAGTACATTTTTGCACTGTTTCCTGCTTAATCTGTTTTTCTTACTGCAAAGGATATTCATCTAACCTCCTGGAATCCTACCCATGCTATAAACATAATCATAGAATCATAGAATGGCCTAGGCTGGAAGGGATCTTAGAGATAATTTAATCCAACCTCCCTGTCATGGGCAGGGACGCCTCTCAGGGAGATCAGGCAACACATGGGGACCGACCGCGGATTGAACCCGTGACCTTGCTGTTAGCAGAACCACTCCCTAACTGACCAAGCTAACTGGCCCCCCTGTGTTCTACCACATTTCCTCATTGCAAGCTATCACTTAGCTTGTCTTCCCTAAAAACTTCTCATCATGG